CAGGGTACAGAGAAGGGGTGACAGCAGGAGACCGGTGACCGGCCGTGCTCCTGCCTGGGGGGTCACGTGTGGCAGAGCCACTACCTTCTCTGAAGACCAGCTTCCCCCGGCTGTCGGACGAGTAGCAGCCGATGTACTCCTGGATGTCCGTGTGCTCGTGGTTGTTGATCCTGACGCACTGGTTCCCCGTGGCGGCCGCCAGCCACCGGATCAGGCTGGTTTTGCCCACAGAGGTCTCCCCCTGGATCAGCACGGGATGCGTCCTGCCCAAAAGAAACATGGACTCTGTATAAGACAGCGAATGGGCTCCAAAATCTCTCCACAGACTCAATTCATTTCTGCAGTACACTGCTATACTTCTGAAAAGACAGAACCTCAACATGCTCAACATGCTCAACATCTAAAGTCTAACATTTTTTTTCATACACTATGGTTCACATTTCACTAATAGTGAATCTTTTAAAGCTCATTTTTCAGTCATAGTGCCATTTTCGTAATACTGAAAAAAATGATTTTACAGAGAGCAGACGAATGACATGCACATCACATGATGCTCACACACAAACACAGCGACCAATAGAGCAACCAGAAGAGATCATGTGACCAGGAGAGCCAATAAGGTGCTTCCTACCCAGCAGACACCACCCTGGCCAGGTCGCGTAGGTTAAGCTTCACCGACTGGGTGAGGATGTAGCACTGGTCCACCACCGGCTCCATCTCCCCCTGGGACACCCAGTACCCCTCCACCTCCACACACCTCCTGCCTGGGGGCTCTGGGATTGGCTGGCATGGCAGAGACACATTGGGCTCATCTGCATGATCTGTTCATCGTGCAGGAGAAGGCAGTCTGCAGGGGGCGCCGTGAGCGAGTACCTGCTTGAGACACTTCACGTTTCTGCTCAGGATGTGCTGACACACCAGCTTCTGGACCACAGGGTGAGAGCTTCTGTCCAGCTGGGTCAGGAAACTCAGACAGAAACCCTGAAATAATAATAATAAAAAAAAAACTATCACAATGGGGTTCATGTGAGGCTCAGGTTAGGGCACTGTGCCTGTGATCAGAAGGTTGCCGGGTCGAATCCCGGTCGGCAGTGTGATGTCACCATTGGGCCCCTGATCGAGGCCCTTAACCCCTAACTGCTAGTTATGCTGAGGCCCGGGGCCCGTCAGATACCCACCTCGTAGAGCGAACGCTGTGCATTGTGGCACGGGTTCCCCGCCACGTACTTCAGCGCCCGGCACAGCGTCCGCAGGCTGTAATGCGGCCGGTTCCCCGTCCCGTCCACCAGGTGCGACTGTGCGTCCCGCCGCACCGCCAGGTAGAAGCTGAGGGGGGAGACGGCAGGGGTCAGCGCCGTGCCGCCTCACATGGGGGGGTAGGGGGTGGGTAGCACCCAGGGGAGGAGCATCCTGACCTTATGATGCCGCTGATCACGCTCTTGTTTAGGTTCAGGCCCTTAAGGTAGTCCGACACCAGAATCCTCAGATCCCTCTCATTTTCCAGCTCTTCCACATAGAGCTCAGTAAACCTGCAGATCAGACACACACACATATATTTTGCTTTGGGTAAGAGTGTCCAGCACATTAATAGAAACGTTAATAAAAGCAAATTAATTTTGGTTACATTTTTCCCCAGAAATCCTATTACATAGTAACCGTCACCTAAGGGGCGTGGTCACCACAGAGGCCCCGCCCTCTTGTCCCCTGACTGCCCCACCTGTTTCTGATGCCATGGGGCAGATTTCGCTTCCCCACGTCGGTGGCCGGATTCATGCAGGCAAAGAGGCGGAAGTCTGGGTGTCGAACCAGGGGCTCTGCGTGGACGGCGAAGACAGACGGGTGTCAGTGGGCGGCTGGTAGCCAGGCAGCGCAGCCACGTTAAAACAGTATAACACGTTATTCTAAGGCTACAATGATACGCTAATAAAAATACCTCACTATGGTGACACTGATGAGCAGATTCATAATTATCACTTTATTATACATTGTCGCTTTCCAATGAGAAACACGTATCTCCAAAAATCCATTATTTCAGGAACGTCTCAAAAAAACACTTTACAAAACAGACCCAAAATAACGTAATGAGACATCGGTTTAAATTCATTTACTTGGATTGTTTGTCAGGGAGGCAAATGTCAATGTCAGAAAGATACAAACATCAACTTATATTAAACAATTAACAATTATGTCAGTTAGCTAGCTATCTAGATATCAGCATTCTTAAAATTAGCGGTATAACGTAATCCCTACAAACACCATCATGAATAAAAAATCTTAACTAGTGTAAACAAATACTAGTCAAATAGATGACTTCATAAAACAGCAGATATCAAACGCTATCAACAGACTGAGGAGAACGTCAAAAGTCACGATCGTCGAAAAGTGGACATACTGTATGAGGTTTTCATAACACAGTGACAATATTTGATTTTCCGGAAACTTCACCCAAATGAAGTACATGATAAATCACATAACATTAAGATTCCTCTTAGAAATGTATATTATAGCAAACTTAATGATTATGACGACTCATCTATATCCATTCTGTTTACTATTCAATACTGTCACCACCTGTGTCACCATGGTTACCGGCACTCTTCACCACACAGCCCACCAGTGTCACTATGGTTACCGGCACTCACCACACAGCCCACCTGTGTCACCATGGTTACCAGAAGGCCTGTCCCAATATAATAGCCTGCTTGTGATTATTTGGACTGACTGCAATAATTTTTTTGCATAATTGCTAGAATTCTACCGTGTAATGTTTGAATGGTGCTTGTTTAATGACATCATTTCCTTGCGCTTTCTGAACTGATCTGTACCACCTGTCCTGTTTGTACCTCACACAACTGCATACGCTCATTTCATGACCGTGACAACCCTAATTACCAGCACTCGGTACCACAGAGCCTGTGTCACCATGGTTACCAGCACTCGGTACCACAGAGCCTGTGTCACCATGATGACCAGCACTCGGTACCACAGAGCCTGTGTCACCATGGTTACCAGCACTCGGTACCACAGAGCCTACCTGTATCGCCACGGTCCAGCAGCACCAGAGACCCCCGGCTGCCCTCCAGCAAGCCACTCAGGCACTCCAGGGTCTCAGCCGCCGCCAGGTTGATCTCGTCCAGCAGGATCCACTCGCCCTTCTTCACCGCCTGCGCTAACGTCCCCTTAAACGTGAACACAGCCAACGGGTCAGCTGACGCCAATGTCTGCCACCAACTATTCCCAGCATGCTTTGCAACATGACTACCTAAAAGCACTTAATATATTCCAACAACATCACAGTTAGTCACGAAATAACCAGATACTGCTAATTATAACCCTGTTCAGCCAGGAAGGAGGTAAGGAGACTCACCTCCACGAATGAGAAGACGAGTGCAGTCTCACAGGCCCTGATCTGCTGCTGAGTCTGGCTCAACCTGAGGGCCAGAGCCTCCCACTGCTCCCTGAGGAGGGCGGCTGTCAACAAGCACAGGGTCCACGGTGTGAAGCAGCAGGTCAGCAAACAGCCCAATGACCGACGACACTGATCCACACTAATGCATCTCCGCAAAAGCAGCTACTCTGTAGAGCTCTGCTCAACTGGCACCGATGGCGGCCGTGTGCTTATCAAGGCGTCAATACTCAAAGAGCAAGGGAGCATCTGCGGGTGCAGCTTCTGCTCCGAGCAGCCTGCCCTCGCACCCGGGACAAACGCAGTACCGTCGGGCTTCTTGTGCAGCTCCTTGGTGAGGGCCGACTTGCACACGTGGTCCATGAGCTTCAGCAGGTCCTGCCAGCGTTTGCTCCGGAAGCAGGTCTGCACGTGGCCCAGGAAGGTGAGGTTCTGCTTGCGGGAGTAGGTCTGGGAGAAGAGGTCCTCAAAGGCCTCACGCAGCGGCAACAGGATCAGCTTGTGGTCCACGGGCTTGTAGCTGATGGGGGCACAGGGGCAGCGAGTGTCACGGGGTCTCTTAGGGACAAGATTTCCATCACACCAGCGGAGCCCGAGAGCTTAACCTTAACCCTAACCATTTTATTAAGGAGAACAGCATAAGAACATGACAGAAGAGAGCACCAAGAAACGGCTCCAAAGGTTCTTTGTAACTGGTTCTGACTATAAAGAACTCTGAACCTACCCCCCCAAGAGATCGGCAGTGTCACTCTGCTGGTTCATGTTGACGACCCGTAGCCGGTGCCCTGGAGGAGAATGGAAAGTGCGTCATGCCTGCAATGAGGAGCGCTGGGGGTAGACACCAAATGACAGTGCTGGGTGGGGGGATTTTACCTGTCAGCCCTGCCAGATGCTGCACGGTGGAGGTCTTGCCGGTGCCAGTCTCCCCCACCAGCAGGATGGGCTCGCCCCGGCTCACGCACACGGCCAGCTGCTCGAGGAGGACGGAGGACGGCCGCGTGGCGGCGAAGGTGTGCTTCTCTCTGCGGAGGAAGGCCGAGGTGAGGAACTACAGAAAGGCAGGCAGCTCAGGGGACTCAACGGAGATCAAGACTTTAACAATACCACCTTAATATGCTTAACGGATAACTGAGGTATTTTTAAAACCCTGTAACTCAGTTTTAAACTACAGGACTTCCATGTTATGTTTTGTGGTGTGGGCAGCTTGCCTCAATAGTACCTTTAATGTTCCAATGCAGGCTTTTGTATTTTATATCAGAGCTTGTGTGTGAAACGTGAGTCGATCAGCAGGCGCGCTGCTGTGGGCATGAATATCTCCTGCTCCACACAGATGGAGTGATTAGCCAGCTAGCAAGCTAATTATTTGCTGGCACAGTGACCGGTTTGTCTGACGGCAGAGCCCCCCCACCCTGGCTTACACGCAGAGGCGGACGGCTTCACACTGCTTCCGCGGTACGGTCGCTCGCCCCACCACAACGTCGAGCTCCGTGACTCTGATTTCCGGCTGGTACATTTGGCAGTAGTGCTGCACCTAATCGAGAGAAAGCATCAGATTTCAATGGCTATCAGCCTCCTGCAGCCCCTTCCTTTTTAGCCAAAACACCCCTACAGCAAAGACAGAAATGAAACAGTCCACTGACAACACTCATTCAGACTGAGCTAACGGCACGAACCATTACAAAGGAGGGGCCGGCTTGCTCTTCACGACTGACCTCCTACCTTTTCTTTGGAGATGTTGAGCTTGCTGCCGATAGCCTCGGCCAAGCGCTGCCTGCTCTCAGGGCTGGGCAGCATGGCGGTGAAGCAGTCGAGAGCCTGGGGGAGAGAACCGGGAAGAGCTTAGCGATGGTGCCACGCGCGACACGAAGATCGGATATCCAGAGGGGAAACTCTACAAGCAAAACGGACAAGGAATGCTAATATCCCCAAAGCAACAAGTCTGCTTTGCAATGGGACATTCTTAACAGAATGGAGGGCCCTATTGATTTTGGAGAAGTGTAATATCGCTCTGACTGCATGGCCCAACGCAGCCTCCTTGGTTATAAACAGAAACAACAATTTCAGACCGATGGGCCAGTAGCAGGCGTGGGACAGATCCAGCCGCGCACGGGAGCCATGATGCACGTACCTCGTGGAAGACGTTCTGGGCCACGTCCGAGGACGTGCCGGCGAAATGGTGAGCGATCCTGTCGCACCACTTCAGCAAATCCCTTCGAAGGATAAGAAAGGCAGAGTCAGCCGGACAGAGAGACAGCCGCACGGCGATCGCGCCCGCCGGGTATAGGGGTGCCATCTGACCGCAAGCAGGAATATGAAGTGCAGCTCCTTCAAACATCACTCCACCAGCAACAAATTAACACAGGCAAGTCAGAGGGAAAATACGCAAAACTCATTGTATAAGATTTTTTAAATTTAACGCTGATTGTTAGGAGGATGGCTCAAATGAAAAGTTATTATTGTTATTTTAACAGTGGAGGTTGGCATCGTGGCTAAGGAGCTGGCGTCACACATCACTGGCGTCACACATCACTGGCGTCACACATCACTGGCGTCACACATCACTGGCGTCACACATCACTGGCGTCACAGGCGGGGGTTGGAAACTGGTTCCAGCTGTGTGGAGTTTGCATGCTCCCCCGTGTTGCCAACGCGTGTGTGATTTTGCCCTAATACTCATGTAAGAGTAAGGATACATGGACGTGCACTTTTATCTGTACTGAAAATTCGCTGTGCTGATCACTGGATACTTCCGGAACCTCCCAGCAGACAGAAGACCCCCCCATGTAAACACCATGGGCACCAGGCTTCACATCACTGCACGCTCCATATCGGAGTCCGAATCTCTGCACTGTAACAGACGTCTGCCTGACGACCTTCCATTTCAGCTCATTATATCCTCAGGTTTTGGTGCTTTGGAGACGGATGTCAAGCCCCCACATTGACATGAATAGATGACGGCCATCTAACAGCGCGGATAAACGGACTGGCTTCATAATGGATGCTTTACATCTCCTTGGGCACGTTTGAAGGACCCTCACCTTAGAGAGAGACCCCGGGTCTCCTGCCTCAGCTGAAGCACCTCCACGCTCTCCAGCCCCTCCTGGTGAAGTGTGTCCACTGTGCTGCTGTCCTGGTGTTTATCTCCCGTCAGCTGGCAGTAGATGTCCAACAGACGCTCCACGACCATGGCCAGGCTGGGGTACCTTTCCAGCAGAACCTTAAACCACAGCGTTCTTGCCGTCACAAACAATACTGCAGAATGCTGGTCAAACTTACCGCAGGTTTCTTTTCTTATGGTGGTTTTACCTGCTTCAGTTCCTGCCTTGACATGTTGCCCATCTGAAGCTTAGTCCAGTACTTGTCCAAAAGAGCAGCATGTGTGTTCTGGGGTCGATACCAGCCCCCGCCACTGCAGAACAGCCTGCACACAGACACAGACAGACACACGCCAGGCTAGTTTTCCATACTGGCGTTCATACTCAAATATCTCATAACAGGACGTCATACATCTCATAAAACTGAAAGAGTACATGACGTGGCGCTTTATTAGGTACAACTGGGCATTTACACCAAACAGCCAGAATCACGTGGACACAGAAAAGATCGGGAGACTGGCAAAGTATGAAAATGACTAAGACGCGTGATCCAAGCGATTTTTTGAACGTGGTGCTGATGTCGACTGTTTCTGAGATGCTGCGTGTCTGACATCCTACGATTTTCACACGCTACGGGCACCTGTGGCTAAAACAGGTGGATGTGAAAGACGTCAGAGGAGACCTAAGAAGAACTAAGATAACAGGTCAGCAGACCAGTACAAACAGTGTGCAGATTGACTGCTCTGAACGTCCAGCTGGTGGGAACCTCCGACTGGGGGGAACGGTCTCATTTTCTGGCAGGAAATGTCACATTCAAATATTTTTTTTCATGAAAATTAAACAATTTTCTCTTTTTCCCCCCCAACCTGTGCCTTGCAGTTATTTCTTTCAAAAAACACACAGAAATGATCATGGAATGACAATGTTTTTTTTCCAGCATTGTCCAACTAAAATATTGGTCAATTTTACCCTAAATTTTCCCATAGAACCCTACAAAAAAAACAAATAATAATGTCTGTCTGCTAAATGAAGCAGCAAAAGATATCGGGAAAACTACTACAGAGACCTGTGGAGTGACAGGGGCGACTCACCTTCTCGTGGCGAAGAACTGAAAGCCAGGGGCCTCTTCGATGCAGTCATCCCGGCCAGGGATGAGGAGCTTACGGTTCTCCATCAGGGGAAGCAGTACAGAGATCTGTGGGACAGAGACGTCTGGAATGCTGCGTTTTAAACACGGCGCCGCTGTGTCGCCGTCACCATGGCAACCAGGCCTCATCAGTACAAGAAAGGCTTTGGAAGACAGCCTGCCCCCCAGCGGAAGACGACACCCACCACATCCAAGGGCGCGTGGTCGATGTCCTCCAGTAGGATCCAGTGTCCCTTGGACACCGCCTGAGTCAAGGTGCCAGGCTGCCACACGAACTTCCCAGCAATGTCGGTACAGCGATACATTCCCAACAACATCTGAAACGGCGAACGGCAAACGTACGTAGTTTAATGCCTTAAACAGAAGTGCATCAAAGCTGCATGCCGTCATAAGGTTTTCAAGATCTACGCATTGACCTATGACACCATCTCAGCTCCAAAGGTGGACAAGCACAGGGTCTGATATAGAGCTTCTCTTTGCAGAACTGATTTTGTCCTTGGTATGTTTTCTTACCAGGAGTGGGCAGTATTAAGGCAACACTTGTGGTATGCCGTGGTATTTTTGGCATACTGCAGTATTTTAAAATCTTGCTTATGAAATTCGCCAAGATAAATTCCAGTCCCCCCCTCTCCTTAACACCAAGGACCCCTCCCACTTGCCAAATTTTATCACCCAGATTGCAAAATAGCAAAAATGTTAAATTTAGAAAATACCGGAAAAATATGGTATAATGTACAGAAAATATGACGGTATTAAAAATAGATGCCGCCCAAGCCTAAGTGCACCTCTATTAGCCTACCCACGCCCCCCCCCCCCACGCTGAACGCTCGCAGTGCTGACGCATCTGACGTAGAACGCCCGGCTCCACCTTGCTGTCCGTCTGATCTCCCAGCTGAACCTTCAGTATTTCCGGAGCCTTGACGTGTCCGGTGACGGCAGCCAGATGTTCCAGGAGGGCTGTCTTGCCGCAGCCGATGGGGCCCTCCAGAAGAACCGCCCTGTGCGAAGCCACAGCCAGAGCCAGCCGCCGCAGGGTCTTCCGGCTCAAATCCACCAGCACTAGCTGCTTTGTGAAACTCTGTTAAGTTGGGAGAAGCAGGTGTTGGGTTAGGGTTAGGTTTAGGGTTAGGCTTAGGGTCTGCAGGCTAAAGCAAAGCCATTAATGCACCATTACGGGAAAACTCATTCTCCAATTTACAATACTATGCTTTTCTTAAAAGCCGGTGACAGAGGTGTGGCCAAACATGTCCGCATTGATCAGTCTCACCGGTTCTTGGTGCTTCAGTGTCTTCCTGGGCAGCACCACGCCACAGACGGCCACAGCGTTGCGGGACAGGTCAGCAGACACCACCTGGCCCCTGGTGTACCTGTTCAGCTTATCCTCACACCACTCCACAGAGGCCTGGTTAGCCAGGACCAGAGCCTTTTCTACCTCCAGCTGTCCAACTTCTTCCAGAGACCTGAGAGGGTTTAAGGAACGACACCAGATAAGCAACAGCGGCTCCTCTGATCCTAACCAGGAAAAGCACCAAGCTAGAACACGGGCCAAAACAAGCAACATACTTTATTTTAAGATGGAGGATTTCTTCACTGGACAGGACCTTTCTCAGGAAAATTGTTTTCTGATTATCGGTCATGTGGGACATCAAAGCCAGGCAATGTGCCGTATACCTGAAGCAAAACAGAACAAGAGTCTGGAAAATCACCAGGACAAGCAGCACGAATGGGAATAAACCCCCAAATAAAAACACAACCATGAAGGAGGGGACCGAGGAGGACGGTACGCACCAGCGGACCAGGACGTCGCTGGTGAGCAGCTGTGAGACGCAAGCGCTCCAGTCCCACAGCTCTCGGTACTTGGCGCAATCGCTCCGCAGGAAGCGGAGGGTGGCACCCATCAGGTCGCGCAGTTTCATGCGCCGGGGGCCATACTGTACAGACGAGGACTCCGCGCTGGTGAAGAAAAGGCGCTGGAACACCGGCGGGGCGTCGCTGAAGTAGCGGGCGGCGAACCTGCAGGGGGCAGCAAACATCACAGAGCCATTCATCCCGCATGCACATCTGATCTGATCTGTCGCTAAAAACATCTGCGGTGGCGTGTTGCTTGGCAAGAAGACTGTGCCAGTGATCAAAAGGGCGCCGGTTCGAATTCCAGGATCAACCAAGTGATTTCACTGTTGAGCAAGACCCTTAACCGCAATCACTCCAAGGTCACCACGCTCTCTCAATCATGTCGCTTTGGAGAACACGCCTGCTATAGAAAGGAAACAGGAATCATTTCTGGGTGGACTCTCACAGCTGTGCGTCCGGGCAGATGCCAAGCAGCTTGCTGAGGGCCACGCAGAAGCGCTCGTGCTGATCATGGTTGATCCGGCCTTCCACTTTGATCCTCTCGGCGTTCCTCTCCAGCAGGTCCAGGACGAGCGGTCGGAGGTGCCGTGCTATCAGGAGCGTGTAGTCCTTTTCCAGCAGGAGCTTGGCCAGGCTCGTCAGGATGGACTGACGGTCCTGCTGGCTCCATATCTAACAAACAGGCAGGACAATGAGAGAGACAGGTTTTGGCTAAGTACATCTCATGACAACATGCTATTTTTAAGGTAATCAAACAAACTTAAACTTAGTCTTAAGCTACAGTACAAACATCATAAGGATACCTCATCAGTAAAATTATATCAATAGCATTATTTGACGATTTACTTACCGATTACAAAGGAATGCTTACGAGAACTAATTATCTCTGTCAGTCCAGGCCTAGTAGTCTGTTAAAATAAAACTGATCTGCTAACAGTTCCTTATGGAGTGCTTTACTGTACCTTGTAATAACACGCACTGGCTGGAAATTATTATATTAGCCATCGTATCCTCACGTATTAATCACCGGCTACATAAGGTCTGCTACAACTATGAAAAACTTGCTAATTAAGCAGACTGTAAAACCTCGGCTACAGGGCTAACAGATTGGTTAGCGAAACAACAGTTTAACCAGTGAGTTACAAAAGTCACGAAAACCTTCTGACTAGGCGGATTGTATAGGTAAACTACTGAAAATTAAATTAAGTTTATATGCCATACCTGCTTCGCCAAATACTTTCCAAGTTCGTTGCGACTCTTCTCAACGTGTCTTGAAATGATAGTCAGGGATGACAAATTCAGGTCTAAATGTTCCATTGTTTCATGCGTTGTTTTAATAAGCTCGCCACACTTTCAGAAACGGAACCCTGAAAGAGTACACAGAGTGCTCTTTACAGCGATATTTCACGCATAGGGAATCATATTCTAATGACTAGCATGCCTTTCTAAGGTGCATCACAACACAAGAGTGCACGTTTGCCGTCAGTGTTAAAATCCTCCAGTCCACATGTGGGTACACGCGAAACACTTCCGGGTGAGCGAGTAGTCTCGCCTCCGTCATCCGGTCCCCTCGCGGGAATCATGTGGACACCGCAGCCAAAACTGTTGGTACTAGTTACCATTTACATAAAGTTTTTTTTATTATTTTATAAATAAATGCATTGTTTATTTTTATGATTGGGCATACACGTACATGTATATGGATACGTTTACTATGTCTTTGCAAGGTATTCGGATTTCTTAATTATAAATGCATTACGATTAACAAATTATCATAAGTTGATTTCTGCATTTGAGGGACTTGCTCGAGTTGGGTAACGAAAATACTTATTTTAATAAGAAGAGGCTAGCAAAATAAATAAATCCAGCAGCAAATATCGAGCACAGATCTCAGATAAATACACTCAATAATGACTCTGATACAAAAGGATTCAGGAAGCCCTGTCTGATATCCACACCGCGGGCAGCGTGAGCGTCAATCTTCGCTCAAGCCGCCCTGCCCGCGACGTAGCGAACGTAGTGGACGCTCTCTGACATTGACGAAGTGGGCGGGGACTAGGGCTTGCAAACTTTTTAAAGGGGCCGCCTGGAAATCATCAGATAACCTTTAAAGAAGTCATAATTTTGTTTAGATGTAATTGTCATGAAAATATTTAGGCCCTTGGACATTTGTTTGGATGTGGTCAAGAAATGAAAATCAATGCAAATATAAATGCACAACATACCTTTTAATGGTTAAATATAAATAGAAGTCAAATTATTTTCAGATGCCATTTTCTATCACGCTTAAGTGAATTTCCATTTGATTACAGTATTATATTCATGCTGGCTTCTACCTGGAAGTGTTTACATTAGAGCATTTAAGGATTTTGGGCAATGTATCAAAAGAAATGACATCAATTTTATATGTAATACAGAAATTAACATAATAAAAGGTACATACTAAAACACTTATGTACAGGTCACTTCTGTTCTGGTCTATGGTGTCTGGACAGAGATAATTCTGAATCGGGAGTGTAAAAACGTTTGTGTTTGTCTCTATTTCTAATAAAATACACACATACTATTACTGATACTGCCCAGATATGTGGTCATGTGAAAAAAATTAGGACACCCAATTAAATATTTAATCCTTTATTAGGAAATATCAAAATATCAATATTAAATCTTCTTTCAAATTAGGGTGTCCTAACTTTTTCCTCAGTGGAATTTAGCATCTTAGTTAATTTCTTTTCATAAATAAGTGAATTAATTTGTTTCTTAAAAAAGGAATAATCGTGAAAATTGCAAAGATAGCTAAGTTTTTTTTTTTTTTTGACAGAGTAAAACTGTTTTAGCGAAACTTAAACCCCCTGCGCTATAATGTCCATACAAAATTGAAAGTAAGAAAAAGCCTGATCTTAATCTAGCTGACTAGGGATGTGCATAACATGAGATGTTGGTATTAATATCGCACATCATCCAGCCTTATAATATAACAGCTCTTTTTCGAATTCGGTACAAAATATCCCGCCATGCGTTGTGATGTCACTGAGTGCTTTCGGTATGGTACTTTCATTACGTTCTCTTTTCTAATGAAGTTATTAAAAGAGAAAGTACCGTGCCTAAAGTAGGGTACCTATTGCCCTGGAGAAGCCCTTTAAATAGGTTAGTCCAGTCCAGGCAAGATTTGTACTCTGGGTAAAGGAAGCAGCGCCCGTCTGCAGACCGCGGGAAAATAACGTCATTTCCTGTTTTGAGGAGGCACTCAGTTGGCGCGCCTGTGCCTTGCTAACTAGCTTTGTGAAAGCTATGTTGGAGGAAAAACTGCAGTCCAGCAAATTACAAAGGGTAAATGCACGTTTGATAATTTTGTTCCGTCTTTTACATTATATATTACAACAATAGAGAGATCAGTGCAGAATCTGTAGTAACTGTTTTAGGCTAATTCTCATGCTAGCCCTGAAATTATTCTTGCTACCAAGATAAAAAAAAAAAAAGACCAAGTGTTAGTGTACTGTCACTTAACTATCGACCTTATTCTGTTAAGTTGTAGTCTACATGAGGAGCAGGTACTGGCAGGTTTTTCTTTGTCAGATATTATGCTAGCTGTCCTGCCGTATGCTTAGAAGAGCCAGCAAGCTTCGTCTTACTGTTAAACGTGCCTGGGACCAGAATGAAGACTCCAGTTGCCTGTTTTGAGTTACCTCACTTAGGTTCCATTTTAAATAATTGTACGTTTTAAATAACAAAACAAACAATAAGCTGTTGATTTCAGATTTCTGTATGTTGTCGCATTTTAATTGTCAGAGTTTGTGTATAAACTTTGGCATGCATTCCAGAAATATTTAAATAGCTGAACATTTAACGTTTGCCACATTAAGATGAGACGGCAGAATGACTTTTAATAAATGACCACGTGTCTGAATTGTACCAAATGCGACGAAATATTAATGCTTTGTTAAACTTGAAGTGTATTTGCAGTGCCTTCTGTAAAAGTATTTATGGATGAGCCAACAGGAAACAACATGGAGAAGATTTTCTTAGATGAGATGTACGGAGATCTCAGTTTGAAAAATTGTGGTGCGTTTCTCTCTCTTTTTTTTTGCTATTGTGCTCTTTATATACACTTTAAGTATATTTTATATGGTTACATGACTATTCTGCTCAAATGTCAAAGTTAAGTCAGTCTTGGAAAGCTTGTAAGGCTTCAGATAATACTGAGCAACAACACTTGTAGGGTATCAAGACACTCAAAAGTAATGTGTCTCTCTGTCTTTCAGACTCACCTGTGGTTAATGAGGATTCAGTGGATATTTACTGGGGGCTGGACCAGAGTCCCGTCAACAGTAAAAATGCAGGTAAATCTGACAGGTTTAAATGGGATTCTTGAAATTTTAAGAACAAACAAATGGAAATTTTATTCTGAAATGCTTAACACAAAGCCATTTCTGTGCATAGCACTACACAGTATGCTAAAATTATGAAAACAGTCTGGATCATGAGAGGAACTGTTGTAGTAACTATTACTTGTAATAAGTGGTAATTGTGCTGTTAATGGAGCCTTCTGTATACTCAGCCTCACAGTAATTTGGTATATGTTGTGCTTGGATTTAGAGATTGTTAGTACACCCATCTTATGCCAGAAGTTAAAAGATTCCATGGATCTATATGAAGAATTAATCACTGAGGAGCAGCAGCATAAAGAATCTACTCACAATGAGGTTTGGGCCATTTAAACTCTACTCTAAACACCACAGGTGGAAGGTTCAGGTCCAGAAAGTAAAAATCCAGACCAAGGTTTTGTTTCAACCAACCAGTTGAGTATAGTCACAGAGTACAGTCCTCCTCCATATTCGCATAAGGTCTGCTAGTCTGAATGAACATGACAATTTATTATCAATTTCTAAACACAGTGCACTGTACACTTGTTAAATTGCTGTCATTTCTTATCTAGACTTTGTACTGTATATAATATACAAACCATGTAAATTATGTCCCTGTTTGTAGAAATTTACTGTTGTACAAAGTGGGAGTGCTGTGTTTTGGAGTCTATTAAAAATGCAAAATTAACGGCTTTGGGAAGTATAAAAGTTGTTGTGAGAAATGTGAGATTCCATGGTCACAAAGACAGCTAACAGGTGAATAAGACTGGCTGCTGAGACAGACGCACGGTGTACTCAAGCCAAGAGATTTAATATTAATGATGTAGTATGCATACTAACAAATATGTTGTCGCTAATATTTCTATATTATTTGACTTTGTGATTTGAATCATTTTCAGTATTGTTTTTGACCTGCACATTGTGTCTGTGATCTTTAAGCGAGCTCCGAAAATATTACCATTTAATTGTTTGCAGCCAACATGCAAATAACTGAGACTGCGAATGTCTAGTCCATGAATGTGAAGGGGTTACTGTACTTAACTGGGTGGTTGAAACAAAATCTTAGTCAGGTGAGCTAAACTGTCCACCTCTGCTAAACACATTGTTCATTTTAAGAATTTCTAGGCATCAGTCTGTTTATTTATCAAGCCTTGAATCGAAAGCAGCACATTTGGTTTATAGCTTAACACTTCACATGTACTTGCTATACGTTTTCCTATCTAGCATTTATGAAAATTTTCCTTTTTTTTCTAATCGTAGCTTAAGAGCAAACTGGACACAGCAGAAAACAATGTTAAAGAATTAATATGGAGACTGCAGCATGCAGAAACACAGGTCTGTCTTGGTTTTGTTTTAAAGCTTTGCACAAACTTACAGAATGAAAATCAATGCAGAAACATTTAATACTGTTTTTTTTTTTGTGTTTTAATCTTTCCTGTGTTACTTTAATTTAAGGCTACTGATGATTTTTACACATTGGAATGTCAAAGGCATGAAACTGTTATGCACTGGGGAAATCTTTTATGCAGTATAATATTAACTTTCTTTACAAAATGTTACCCTGTCTGTAAGACATTTTTAGCTTAACTGTTTCTCCAGTAGAATAGCACAAATCCATGACTTTCTGTGCTGTATTCATTTTGGCTTTTGTCTTGTTAAGAATGAAAAGCTGCTCAATGAAAACATGCAACTCAAGAAGAACATAAGTGCCCTTATTAAAACAGCCAAGATGGAAATTGGGCGCAAGAACGAGGAGATCAACAGACTGAATCATAGGCAAGTGCTTTGTCCCCTTAAAAAGTACTTGTGTTACATGGTATTTTTGTTTTGGGATTAAGTTAAAAATAAAATTAAATGACATTAAAAGTGTAATGGCCATTTAGTTGCTTTTTAAGGTTATAAAAATAAAAGAAATGCTACACAGACTACTTTGACAGAAATGCTCAAAATTTTTATTTATTTATTTTTGTGCAAATATTTCGTTTTTTCGCATTTCAAGGTCTGGTCGTTTTGGTAGCGGCCCTCCCTTTCCTCGATCACAGATCAACTTGCAAAGACGTGAATTTACCAGATTAAACCCTGCAGGGACATGTGATCTAGCTGGATCAGTACAAACACAAGAACACAGGGTCAGCTCTGCGCAAAAGGACCTCCCTCAACCATCCCAGAAAGACAGAAATGTTCCTGTTCACCGGCCCAATGTTGAGGCTGCGGATGCCCCGCTTTCGAACTCTTCAGTACATGACAAAGCGAGGGGCGTGGGTACAGCCATCGAGGCATCCAGTAAACGTGCTAATTTTGTACATGTGAATAAGAGCAGAGATTCTAGAATTCTCCGTCCTGCTGGCAGGGAAGGAGAAGCTCCATCTGAGAGACAGTGTACAAGGAATGATGATAGACTGCAGGTAAGCACTGTAACACAGGGACTTGCCTTCCAGGAAAGAACGAGTGGGAAGTGTGAGTCCACTGAGAAAAGAGACCCGCACAATCGTGATGATTCTAGTGTAAGCAGTGAATGTAAGGTGAAGGATCGAGGAGGATTAAACTCAGAGCGCCGGGAAGCAGGCCAAGATCACGTCAAGCCAAACAAAGGAAGCCACCCGCTCACCACTGACTTTTCAAGGAAATCTGAGAAGGTCCACAGCCCTCCTCGTCAGAAGAGGCCAACTCCAGAAGCTCTGCACCACCGACCTTCCAACTCGCATGCATCAAAAGGGCGACACAAGGACTCCGGGGATGCTGAGGCAAAAAGTATTAGGGAGCGAAGGCGCAACCATGACCAGAATGGGCTGGACAGGAGCACTGCAGAATCCAGTGGCAAAGAGAGAAAGCAGCACAGCTCAAGCCAGAGTGGTGTTGAAGAGCGGTCAAGCTCCTCATCCAGGCGCAGGGGGCAGAGGAGTCCACCAAGGGACAATCGGCAGAGAGAGGACAAGAGTTCCGGAAATGAGGGCGGCGGGAGTAGGCAAGAGCGAAGCTCTAGGATGGAGAAAAGCAAAGACCACGAGCGGAAGAGGAGAAAAGAAAGTGAGAAAGGTCAGAGGGATAGCTCTAGGAAAAAAGATGAGTGTAAGAAAGAAGCAGAATCAGGGAGTCATGAGAGTTTAAGAAATGACAAGCAAGCTGCCGCTTCCAATGCACTGTGCAACAGGACAGATAGCAACGGAGACCAGGCTAAGTACCCAGCTTCAGCTGGTCAAAGGGACCGGACTAAGAACAGCAAAGACTCCAAAGTGACTGGTGATAGGTGTGATGGGGCAAAGCTCTCGGACAAAAATACTCAAAATAAGAAATTAAGTTTCATGGAAACGCTGAACCTCACCCTGTCCCCAGTTAAAAAACCAAGGCTTTCCTCTGAAGGTAATGACCAAGCGAACAGACCAGCTGAAGGTGGCCAAGAAGAATGTGATCAGTTTAATTTAGGAGAGGATTACTGTGTCATTGATGAGGTGGATAGTAGCCATGAGTCCTTCCAGGAGAAGGTGGTACAATGTTCTGTAAGCCCTGCAAGAGAGGATGCTCAACAGCCAACACTCAAGTCTGATTCTGAAGAGTCTGAAAAAGCACCTGAGCGGGTTGGTAACAAAACCCAGTTACCAGATGAGGTAATGATTGAGTCTGAAGAAGGAAGCCATGGTGAAAACCACACAGAGCTGCGAAGAGCTGAAGGTGAATCCCCTCCTGCCTCCGACAATCAGCTGTCCGGATCTACACCATTGGAGAAAAGCCCCAGTAAGGAGAAATGTTCACTTTCAGAAATTAAGGACACTGATCCTGATGAAGCCACAATTCTCAGCAAATCGCAAGATACTCACTCTGAAGAGCAGTCTGAAACTTCAATACTTCACCCCATTTTAGCTCCAGTTGATGCCCATTTGAGCACATCCAGTGATCAGACTGGTCACTCTACCTGTGAGACTCCACATCCTGAATCTGTGTTGACTATGACCCAAGATCCAGTTGGCATCTATATGAATACATCACCTGGGAACAAAACCAGCGGTCACACTGAATTATGGAATAGTCCAGTTCCTGGCCAGTCTGAAACGACTTCAGAGCATGTGGTTGGCCCTGGTTCCCTGGAAACAAATCCCGATTGTGTCATATTAATGGAAAAAGATGGTGACACAAGTACAGATGTTGTTTCAAGCACTGTCAACATGCCACTAGATACTTGTATGGCTGAAGTTCTCTCTAATTTCACAGAAGCGCTTGTCATTTCCAGTACAGAGCCAGAGAGCTCAAGCCAGAGTGGTGTTAAAGAGCGGTCAAGCTCCTCATCCAGGCGCAGGGGGCAGAGGAGTCCACCAAGGGACCATCGGCAGAGAGAGGACAAGAGTTCCGGAAATGAGGGCGGCGGGAGTAGGCAAGAGCGAAGCTCTAGGATGGAGAAAAGCAAAGACCACGAGCGGAAGAGGAGAAAAGAAAGTGAGAAAGGTCAGAGGGATAGCTCTAGGAAAAAAGATGAGTGTAAGAAAGAAGCAGAATCAGGGAGTCATGAGAGTTTAAGAAATGACAAGCAGGCTGAATCCCCTCCTGCCTCTGACAATCAGCTGTTCGGATCTACGCCGTTGGAGAAAAGCCCCATTTCTAGTACAGAGCCAGAAAGCGATGTTAAAAATTCAGCACCGGAGCACAGCCTGTCAAAAGATCACACCCTAGAATTGTCTGGGGTGAGCAGGACGTTCACAACGCATGTGGTGCCTGAACCGGAAGTCAGTAGTTCCTTTCCTTCACCTAAAAACTGTTCTGAGCCTAATTCCACTTGGAATGAGGACCAGGACCCGGTGCCCTCAAGTTCCACTTCATTCCACGATGAAGACTCTATGATGCTTACTCTGAAGAGCATTCAGTTCTTCCCAAATGTTATCAGCCCACTTACCAGTCCTGTCCGTCCAGTAAAAAACCAAGCATTGTCCTCTGGGAAGGCGCCACACGTGAAAAGCCTGAGTACAGGTACGTATAAATATTTGTTTTCTGTCAGTTGTTTACAAGATGTCACAACGATTTCATGTAACATTAGACGGAACCATTTCGTTTAATATCTTTTGACATTTTATAGCTCAAAAATTGTTCTAGTACTGATTTGTTACTGTACAAGGAAGCTTTTTAAACATTTAAACACTTTCATTAGCACTTTTCGCAGCCAGCTTCTGTCACCTACAGAGAGTAAGTTCGCGGAGGCGTAAAGATACTTTGATCCGTGTGGAATTTATCAATTATTGTTATTACATGTGTTTCTTTAGCACTAGTAACACTGCCTCTGTTTGTTTTTCCCCCAGAATTCTCCAGTGTGACTGTAACCTTCAGCACCAGCACAAGAAAAATGGACGTGAATAAGGAGAATGAGAAACCCGACTACAGCTCCGTGAAGCTCCCACAGAAGGACCAGACCCCACCGGCGGCCTCTTCCCTCTCCTCCTCCAGCACGACAGAGGATGAAAATGAACTAGAAGAGGGAGCGATCGTCAGTGACAATGAAGATGGTTCTCCAGTCCCTGCCAGTCCACCGCAGAATAAAGCCAGTTCTGTGATGGCCAGCAGTAATCAGTCCAGCCCAAAGTCCGCTCGACTTGCCGAGAAAGATGCCCGGAAGGCGCCGGAGGTTTCTGCGGGTGTCTCTGGAGTTGGAGGCAAAGCAATGCAGAGCAAATCTAAGAAGATGTCTCTCCCAAATAAGAAGCCCTTCAAAACATTTGTGCCACTTTTGCCCAAAACAAATCCATCTACCATCCCTGAAGTCATGGACATGTTCACACAGATTCACACACACACAAGAAACAAGTATATGGAACTTCATAAAACATTTCCCAAAAAATACTTCTACAATATAATTGACATGTCTCGAGTATCCTTTACAGACTTTGTAAATAATGTGAACTTTAGTAAACTGTGTAGTACGGAGCACAACCTAAAGCCCAAGCTGAACAACATCATTTCTGTCTGCATGAATAAAATTTCCAATAATGGTATCGTCAAGCGCATCTTTGAACAGCAGTCCCCGAGTCTGAAGAAAAAACTGTGGAATTTTGTGGAAGGTCAGTTTGACTTCTTGTTCAAGGAAATCAAGGCCACCCTTTTGAGTCAGTGCAGACCCGCAGATGTGAAACATTCCTCCATGATCAAGTGCAACTTCAAAAATACAAAAAAGAATCTGGTTCCATTGCTGAAGAAATTGCCTGATAGCATAGTTAAATCTTCAGTTACTCCAATGCCCAGAAGAAAGTTGGAACACAAGACTTCTGAACCGCCGGGGAAAAAAACTCTTTTACCACCTGTCATTCCCCACTGCACTGGTCTGGGGAGCAGAGGTAAAAATCTGAGGATGACTGTAAGTGAGGAAGATAAGGTTCCAGAAAGGAAAAAGCAAGATCTGCAACTTGTTCATCATTCTGCATTCACACCCTCAAATAATGCTAATAGTCCAGAAAAACCACCTGCTTTGGTCCGTCGCCTTTCCCATAGTGCCTCCTTGCAGGATAAATCTGACTATGACATTCTCACTGAGCAGCAGACATCCAGCTTGACCTTTAACCTAGTCACAGACTCCCAAATGGGAGAGATCTTCGAGTGTTTGTTGCAGGATGGCTTAGATCTGATGGAAAACAGTGTATCTGCAGCAGACTCCAACAATTGGTCTGTCAGTACACCTCGGAAAGACGGTACTTGTGGCGAGAGTTTTGCAGGGATACCTCCAGATGAGGCTGCAACTCCATCAAAACTCATAACAGCCTGGTCAGACATTTCACCATGCAAATTCTCTCCCAACTCAAAAATTCACATCCCTCTGAACCCAGCTGTGCTTGACGAAAGTTGTATGCTGGAGGTCCCCCCAAGCTTTGCTTTCGACAGAGTAACACCATCCTCCACAGTAATTTCAGAAAGGGCCTATTCAATCTTGACTGAGGATCTGGCAGTCTCTCTCACTATCCCTTCACCGCTGAAGTCTGATGGCCACCTGAGCTTCCTGAGCTCTGTTAACAGAGGGCCGGCCTCAGCCCCTGACAGTGTCATCAGTGCACGCTTAAGCGAGGATGCTCTGCTGGATGGGGAAGATGCTACCGAACAAGACATTCACCTAGCCCTGGACTCCGACAACACAAGTGTTGAGTCTAGTGGAGAAGGTGTCTCACAGGAGGCCATCACGTCACCTGTGTTTCAGATCAAGCCTCATGTGCCGATGCAGGCGGTTGTGATGGAGAAATCCAATGACCACTTCATTGTAAGAATTAGACACGCATCTACTGCCTTTGTGTCAAGTACCATCCACAATCCTGTAGACCTAGACAAACCAGACAAACCACAATCAGTATTTTCAGGAGAGAGAAAAGGTGCAATGGATGCCGTGCTTTCAGCCTCAGAGTTGGTATCTGTTGGTGAAGAGTCTCCGACGTTGGCTTGCCAGGACAGAAATGTCACCTGCGATGATGGTGGTGCATGTTCCTCTAGAGATGCTGCCAGAGAGCCAGCAGGGTGTGAAACAGAATCCCTGGTGGCTCATGATGAACCAGCTGTGGAGAATGATGAAAGCGTCCTCATAAAAAGTCATGGCAAGGCTGGAAAGCGGAAGAAGCACCATCCTGAGTTGAAGGCCAAGAAAGCGAGGACTGACGAGGCACAGGGAGGGAAGCAAAGGCAGAAGAAGTCAAGAAACATGAACAAAGAGATGAGGAGCCCAAAGGAGAAGAGGAGTGGCTCAGTGTCTATCCCACTGTCACCCAACAGTCTGTCTGCAAGGAATGTAGTTAGGAAAAGAGGAGAAGTGGTGGTGACGTGGAGCAGGTATGTCATCCTCAATGTATTATAGTTTATAGTCCTGACCTTTCCCCTTGATAAATCTTGAGCATCCTTTGAGCTTTTTTCATCTAGAAACATCTGGTGCCATTTGTCCAATGAATTGTATGTTGTCCATCATATAGAATGCTTTTTCCCCTCATAAAGGGAAGAGGACAGGGATATTCTTATTGAGCTGATGACGAAGGGGGCCTCCCAAGAGACATTCTCAGCTCTGTCAACCAAGATAAACAAATCACCTACCCAGGTATCTTAAACGACCCGAATACCATGTATAGTGTTCATTTTCATACAAGAGCCGTGGTCAGTGCCTTTGTGGTCACTGCCTTTGTGGTCAGTACTGTAGTGTTCCATGTGATGTCCTGCTTTTTTCTAGATTGAGGAGAGGTTTTCCCAACTGATGAAGCTCTTCAAGGAGAAGGAGAAGATGAAGAGCTGAGCTGTTGAGGGATGTGAAATGTCAGCGTTTCCTGCTTATGTTACCGGAGGGCTGAAGTAGATTTTGCCGCAATGCCAGAAGCCCAGCCAAGTGCTCATGATGTAGCAGTGGCCTGGAAACAGGGCAACGTTTAATATTGGCGGGTGAACCTGAATCAGTCTTAGCTATGGTCCCCTTGGGGGTGCATCAAGTGGAGATAGACAGGACCCTAACCCTAGGCCATCCACTTGCAGAGCCAGTACTAGCTGTCCCTATAAAGGCTATTTTTGCGGAGGGTGGATAAGGGGATGGAGTGGAACTCCTGATGCACACTGCTGAAACAAGGAAGACTGTCGACAAAGAATTTCTGAAGTGTCTATTTACCAGTGGTAATGTTCAACTTGGTAAGTGGCAAACATGTTAACCTGAGTTTGCTGGACAGTAGGTTTCCATCCAGTAATGACTGGAGCTTACTGAATTATTCAAAATGCACAAAACATTTAGTGACGTGGTTCCACTCAAAGGAAACTATGATGCTCTTTGGGAACAGTGACCAGTGTTGCCAGTGCTAAAGTGACTGTTTTTGTACTGAAGTGTCTTCTTTTAATTACTGGCAGTCCTTGTTGTTTTCAAGAACTACCTCATTCTTCTTTAGCTTTATGAATCGGGCCCTTGCGCAATTTAAAGCCTTCATCTGCTGCCAGATTTTAGAGAAAGCTCTTCTGCTGATGTCAGTATCATTATGTTATTGTATAAATACATTTAGATCCTCATGCTATGGCTACACATGGTGTACAGTTGCAGAAATTTCAGAACGTTGCGGTTTTATTCAGCCTTGGCAATAGCTCTCCGAATAAAGCCAGGTGCAGTGTACACCAGTTTATGGAGACACGTAACAGTTACCACTTCTGAACTTGAACACGAATGTGTACATGAACAAGGGTTCATGTACAAAACAAATCTGGCAAAATTTTGTTTCAGTCACAGTACTACAAAGTTATTTTGAGGGCATTTGCATTTTTGGTTAAAAGTGAATGCCAACAAAACCCATGTTTATGAAATGTTAATACTTTTAATGTATAAATGTGTACAGAAATTATTTTGGATGAATGTTTGCTTTTCTAGTTTTTGCTAAAGGATAAGTCACAAATTTG